ATTTAATTTAAAAAGAAAGTCAACTGGATATATGCAGAAGAAACCTTATACGTATTATATATATATATCTATTCTATGTATGCATGAGAATGGAATAATCCACATATAGTCGAAACGAATATATGGGACGAGCACATGTGCGAAGAAGGTGCGGAAAATAAAAAGGAAATGTAAGTTTTATCCAGATTGGTGGAATTATATTTAACACATTCAAATATAAAATGTTGCACATCAAGGATCAGCTTCAATCCAACCAGGGTAATTATTAAAGATTCAATATGGAGAAGATACGACGGCACACATGACCTAGTAAATTAAGATTATGAATATAATAATTCGATACGTTTTTTCATATTATAGACTGCTGAAACACGAACGATAGTTATTCTTTTTTAAATTCTATATTTTTCTATATTAAAGTTCAAGATTTTTATATAAATACTTTTTATGAGAGACTTTTAAGAATACGAATTTTAAAACATCAGAAAATTGTTATGATTAAATCTATTGAAATGTTACACTTATTCGCAATGTGAGAAAACTGACTCACCCCAGAGAGGACTTATATATGTGCAACCTTTATAAGAGTAGAAAATAATTCGACAAAGAGTGTGTGCAGTATCACGCGTTATAGTCGTGCGACTGTCACATTTCTAGAACAAAATTCGAAAAGAGAAAAGGAAATACTCTTGTTGTATGGGAAAGCGTGATCGTTTATTATTTCTATAGAAATGCTAAATTAAAATGTTGTTAAAATAATAATTTAATTAACGGCCATATCCCACAGATGAATAAATGATTAAGTACATTACATTATCGCGATTCCCCACGTTTATGATACAAATAGCAATCCCGTATGGAATTCGTTTGTAATACAGCATTTCAATTACGCATAAAATATTCTCTTTATACGAATTTTAGTTATAGGAATTATAACGTCATATGCAAAGAACAATTGTATTGCGAATAAGTGTAACATTTCAATAGATTTAATCATAACTAAACAATTTTCTGATGTTTTAAAATTACCTCGTATTCTTAAAAGTCTCTCTCATAAAAATTTATTATATAATATTATATTTATATAAAAATCTTGAACTTGAATTTTAATATAGAAAAATATAGAATTTAAAAAAGAATAATTATGTTCGTGTTTCAGCAGTCTGTAATATGACAAAACATATTGAATTATTATATTCACAATCTTAATTTACTGAAGAAAACACACATAAGCATATTTAATATAAAATAAATACATATTTAAGAAAAAAAATTATTCTGGAAAACGTCAAGCTGTTCGACAAATCTGTTTGACAAATATCTCTCATAAATCTTTGTAAAAATTTGAACACGGGAAAGGCGGAAAATGCGGCAACGTCTTTCAGAGCTTAGAGGCTTCACGTGAATTAATGCGATCTAGTCCATCCTGATCTACGACAAAATCTTGTTAGTACACCTCACCGAGCGGCTGAAATTCACGTCTCCAACGACGTTACAAAGACAAACGTACGTAATTAAATGCTCACGTGAACGATATAACAAGCAGATATCGGAGAACCGTGAACGGAATATTTTCCACTGTTCCTAAATACGTCCTGAATTAATGATAGCAGGCTAATTCGCGACGAGATTCAATTAATACGCTTGAACAATCAGCTGGAACTCACCGCAACAAGAGTATGGACGAATACGCGACGTACTTTATATCACGATATATATGATTCTAAAAATTACATCTTCCTATAAAATGTAATTTACTTATTTACAATATATATACAACATTTTTATTTATTCTATATAATTACACTGGTTTAAAAATAATTTTAAATGATCCTCTCGTTGGAAAATATGATTAAAAACTATTATATTTTTCCATAAATTTTTTTTCATAAATAATTTTCTACTTTTTTATTATTAGGCAAATACGCCGCGCTGGGATTTACATCGCAGAAGTCAGAAAAAATAGAAAGAGTGGGGGTAATTTTTCCGCAACTACTCTCTATTACATGCCTTTATGTTATATTAGTATAGTGTTACGATTTCAGTTTCTTACTGTTAATAAATGAATAAAATTATTGTGAGTTGAATCGATATTTGTCGAGTAGCGCCATCATAAATTATAATCTACATAAAATGATAACTATAAGACGTGCAAAAGACTTAGTGGTTATTTCGTACATGAGTGCAGAGGAATAGTAAAGCATGTTGTATAACAAAATACAAGTACTTTGCTGTTGTATTCTTTGTTTAGTTTGTTGTCTTAAAAAATGCAAGGATTTAAAAAAGTTCATTTTTTAATATAAATATTTTAGATTTCTAATATTTTTTTATAATAAGTAGACAGTACATAACAGTACAAAGTTTTTATATGATAATTCGTTTATTTTAAACATAGTAAATAAGTTAATAAATTAAGTTTTTGATAGGTAGTTTTGCGGCATATATACCGGAGTTACCTTACATAAAATATGACTGTTTATATGAAATGTTTTAATAATTATATGTCAAATTAAGATCATACTTATACAAAATTATTATTATTTGAACAAAAGATTCCAAAATTATTGATGTACAATTATAAATTTGGTATTATTAAAAAGAAGAATAATAAATATATATATTAAGATAAATATGCATGTGCTTTCATGAAAAATATTACATCTAAAAAACATTTTATTGATTTTATGCACAATTACATGAAATGTCTATTACAAATATCTAAATTAGTTATTGATTAAATTATTAATCACTCATACACTTCTTTCTCCTTATAACAAATTTATTCGTAAATCTAAAAGCAAATTTAATTTTTTGATGAGTTTTAAATCATTTTCGTGTGTGCACACACGTTGTATATATCGTGAAAATGTAACAAAGTAACAAATGCAATTTTAACTATCAATTAATATGAAATAATAATAAAACGCTTTCTTTTAATATAAATGACATAGGACTTTAATATCATTAACAAAATTGTTAATTATTTTTTAAGTATCTAAGTATTTAAAGCACATAATTATAACATATTTTATATAAAAATATCTATAGCCACACACATAATTAAAATATTAAAATATGTTTCCTTATTTTATTAATATAATGCAGAAAATCGTCGAAAGTAAACGTTGCTCAAAAAATCAAATCCTTCTCCCCATGTAAATAAAAAAAGTGTCTCGTCTAAGTACGTCGACACTCAATTAATACACCATAGTAACGATTCCGGCGTCTATCCGTTGAAAGCGGAATGTATTGTAATGACGGACGTCGATGTCAGAGGGTTTTACAAGGTGTGCCCAATAAAAGTTTCAGGACTTGTCGGATGGTACATCGAAAATCTCTCACTGAAGGAATGTAATGCACAGTTATTGATTGCCACGAACATTAAAACCTCGAGAAATTCTTATAAATATTCTACCAAGTAACATTTTTTGCTTCTTATGCTCTATATACCATTTTGACAGTTATATCTATCATTTTTCTCTTATGTTTTAAATAGGTAACTACGTCAAATTGAAATAAAAAAATATTAGTAATCGTAATCAATGATTATTTCATCTTAGATTTTGATCATTTTAAAAATATCATGAAATGTGTATTTTTTATCGGATTTTTTATTTTATGTTTCATCATTTTATGTTTGATATTATAATTGTTAACTTTAAGAATTTAAAGTAATATGACATTATTTTTAAAGGAAATAATAATTTTATAAAATGTTTTAATTAAAAACAGCATACTATAAAATATTTAATTTTATCACACGCGTTTAAGTACGTTATAATAAGTTTCTATTACATTAATAATGTGTCCTACTTTTTTTTTAAAAAACGCAATTATGTTTATCTAATATTTTAAATATAAAAAGCTTTCATGACACTTTTTACAATTCTCACGTTCATGAACAATTTTTCACTTGAATTATTTTTATTCCTAATTATAGTTCTCTTATTCTTTGTTTCAATTATTCTTAAGATATACAAATTTCTTTGGTTTATTATTCAGCTTGTAGCAAATACATAACATTTTAATGTATCAACGTATTCCTTTTCAAGTTGATTTTGAACATAATCATCAAATAGTATTTTTAAAAATCAAATTTGTATGAATGCTCAGATAAATCTTTTTTTTTTTTTTTTTTTTTTTTTTTTTTTTTTTTTTTTTTTTTTTTTTTTTTTTTTTTTTTTTTTTTTTTTTTTTTTTTTTTTTTTTTTTTTTTTTTTTTTTTTTTTTTTTTTTTTTTTTTTTTTTTTTTTTTTTTTTTTTTTTTTTTTTTTTTAAGGAAAAGTGACGTTATTCGTTATGGTGACAATCTCTCGCACAATGGCATTCAATACAACACGACACAGAAATTAAATAATACTGAATTGAAATTAAAAAACGGCTATGTTCTTCCAGAGATTGATTTAACAAGAATGATGATAGTTATTGTTCAGCAACCGAATGTAATTCAGATTCGACAAAAATTGATCTCCGAACAATTGATTGGCATTCGTGCCAATATCAATCTACGTTTTCTGTCCGCTTTGATTTCCCGTTTTAGTCATTCAGTCCTAGAACTTTTCGGACACGCCTGGTGCGAGTAGTTCGAAATAATGGACGCGCGGCGCGCGCGAAGAGATTATTTTAATTAATTGCCGCGTAGGTGGGCGCGTTCGAGCGACAATTATAAGGACTTTGTGAAAAAAAGGGGAGAGGAAGCCAAATCCCAGATTCGCGGAGTTAAGCGGATTCTGTCGATCGGTCAATTCGCGGGCGTGTTCAATTAGCGCGAACATCGAGAAAGGTATTGCGCTGTGAGAATTTTACCGCGGGAAATCTCGGAATGTTGTCCATCAAACGAACGCCGAAAATAACTTGAAATTGGAATGAAGGAAGAGATAGGATTAGGAGGAGGCAACCACCTCACGCAGGATCCAGCCTACGATCCACGATGTGGATCCGATCAATACAAGAGCGCAACGCGCCCATCGGATTCTGGCGAATCCGCGCGTGGAACTTACGTGTCGTGGCATGATGTCGTTGGATCGGATCGCTGGATCAGAGTTCCGTCGAAGATCGCACGGTATAATTGTCATCATAGCGATTAATCCCTTCCACGTATGTGTATAAGTGTACGTAATTCTGGTATGTATTCCTCGGTGCTACGCCGTATCACTTTTTGACCGTACCATTTTGTCTCCGCTTCTTCGTTAACCGTCCCTTCGAACTTGATGATTATCACTTCCGTCAGTCGAATTAAAAACGGTGGTGACTCGTCGCGAAAGAGGAATAGAAAAAAAAATCGGCTTTCCTCGAGATAACGAGATAAGACACGACGTGCACGATCACCGAGAGCACAGATTCGACGCCGATCTCGTCGGGAATTGCACTGGCCGGTTCAGCCCTTTACTTCGTAGCGGAGGGGTGGCGGTATGAGAGAGCGCGTCGCGAGGAAGGGATAAACGGAATGGAAGGAAAAGGAAAGCGAGAGACAGGGCGCAGTGGGGACGACCAGCGTGGGAGAATGGAGAAAAGCAGGCGTGGGAGAGATGGGGGGGGGAGGGGAGGATGAGAATATATACCTACCTACATAGCAGCATCCACCAGCATCCACAGTGGTGAAAACCACTGTGTGACTGTGGTACATTTCGTGGAGCTCTCACGAGGGACGGCGAGCAACGACGGAAGCCGTGACGGCGCGGGCGGATAGGGGGACGGATACACGACGAGGAGGAAAGCAAAGAGGAAAAAAAAGACGAAACTGAGTAGGCGAACGAGATGGAGCCGGTGGCCTCTAGAAAATTAAAACAAAAAGCATAGGGAAGCACGTCGTGTTGGAAACGGACTCGTACACACACCGACGCGTTCTCCCGCTTCCCCCTCCCCTCCCCCCCCCCCCCCCCGAACTATATCCGTTCTTCTTTCATCGCATCTTCTCTCTGCATCCTCTCTCCCTCTTCTCCGTTCAACGGCGGAGGCACTTTTATTTCCCTTTATCGTTTATTATGAGTGGTACGTTACCCGCCGACACGCTCGTCCTCGAAAAAGACGTGCAAGAAGGTGTCGACGCGGGTTTTTTTTTTCTCCTTTTCTCGCGCTTCCTCGAGCTTCCTTCTCCTTTTGCGGCCTCATTGTCATAGAAAAGTCGAAAATTCATGTTGAGAACGTTGGTCCAACTGATCGATATTGTTAAGCCCATGGTACATATATTTAAAAATTTAAGGCAGTAAGCAGGAAATTTAAGGCAGTAAGGAAATTGTAACAATGGATTCGCTACTGGCCTTATGATCTCTATTGTGATTGGCCAATTCGCTTACTGCTTACGTTTACTGCCTTATGTTTTTGTATGTACCTGTTCCTTTGGATACGAATTCTGGATCTCTTATTACCTGTTCTTTTTTCTTATTCTTTTATATCTTTGTATCATATTCGCTGTATATTTTCAATGTGCATAGGTTAACAATGACGTTTAAATAATATTCAATTTCAAAATTCAGTGTCAAAATCTGACAATGTCGTCATGAATTTATGATTGTAACGTTCATGTGTAAGAATAACATTGCAGGATAATTTTATATATGCACATGTATAATATTGTATATGTTCAATTATTACGATAACTATTATCGTTATGAAATGTTTAAAGGGTTTAAAGATAGAATCACACGATTTCATCAATTTCTTAAAAGATAAGCATGCATGCATGTTGCTATGCTTGCTTTGATGCATACAATCTTACGTTTAACAAATAATAATAAAATTAGCAATTGTTTCTTTTTGATTGATGTATGTAAGGAAATAAATTATAAAATATAATTTAATAATAAACGTGTATATTAGAATTCCTACGCCAAACCATCATATACATCCAAATTAACGTAACACTGATTTTGTTACATGTAAGTTGGCTACTACGACACATATGACATATGACATACGTCATAACACAAGTGCTAATAATATCGCTGTAAAATAAAAACGCGCTATTCTTGGGTAAAGTCAAGAATGACGTTGACAAAGCAATTATAAAAATGTTGAAGGTACGTTTAAATATAAAATTAAATTGTATCAAATATGGAATATGTGAAACTTGCGCTTGTTTTAGCTATTGTGCATAACGGATTTAGGCGATCAATCAAAAATCATTACCTCAGTGGTGTAACTCTTATATGATGCTACGTTTTGCTTAGCGCCGACCTACGGCTTACTACCGTATCTCCTAATTATAGGAACTCTAATGTACGTCAGCATGTAGCGCTCAATGCACCAATTCTAGCATACATCAGAGCAGGCATGATTGCATACAAGTTTGTAATTCAAGAAATCGAGCATTATGTGATTATATCTTAACATTATAATTAACTTATACGAAACTATACTTCAATTCCTTGCATTATCATTAAACCAGACAAAACATGTTGCAGTCTGTCGTGGATCTCTAGTGAAAGTATTACTTCACTTGCGTCACTTTATTACCTTCTCAAGTTTATGTACATTTTCTTTCCACCGTCTCTCGTCGGCAAACTTCTTATTCAAGGTGGAGAATTCATACGCTCAAGCAAAACTGTCTTCACCCGTACGTCATTGAGAATTCTTCTGCGCGCTTCATATTGCGGAAAGAATCTCGGGCGCGAGCGCGAGATAAATCGAGTTTTAGAACGCGAGTACGAAGGAGAGGCAAGAGGACAGGATCTTATTGAAGATAGGTGTTCTTAGTGGACGAGAGCGATTTATCCGCTATTTCTCACGAGATTTATCTACCCATTCTTTAATCCTTTTCCGATCCGCCCGCCTACTGTGCCGCACCGAGAAACTACTGTTTTTTTTTTTTTTTAATCGACTTCAAACTATTTTTTATCACACCACTCTTTGTGCTGTAGGTGGAGATTTTTCGCGCTCGTTTGTGATAAATCGAAGTCGTAGAAACGGAAAGGAATGAGATGGAAGAAAAAGCAAGAAGGTAGATCTCATCTTATTGCGAACGTATAAACGCTCAGATCGTGTGCGACTCTTCCGCCATTTCTCGCGAAATTCTCTATCGTCTTTTTAATTCTTCTGTCGACTGTTGGGAATAAAATCGAATCGAGAATGGAACCAACGCGCATAGGAACTAACCAGACGGATTTTATCGGGCGTCACACGCTTCAGCGAAGATTTCGTACGTATTGTAAACTGAGCTTAATCCATTCATGCGTTTCTTCTCTGCAAGATAATACCGTTTTCATTCTTGCAAACGGAACATGGAGATGGGAAATATTCAGATGGAGGGAGCCTGTGAGGTTGACCTTGATATATGTTGTCAAAGTCATAATCCTGAGTAATCTCCAGATTTTAGTAGTCATTGTTCTGAAAAAGTTATTAACAAAAGTTTGAAAAATAACAATTCTTATTTTTGCCATATAATATTAAGAACTATCATCTCACCTTTTCGTGCTTACATAATGACTTTCCACGCGAAGCGAAGTTCACTCCCAATTCTCCCTTGCAGCGATGCACGACTTTCCATGCAAAGCGAGATCCATCTCACCAGTGTGGACGAGGGGGAGAGCAGGGGGAGAGCAGGGGGAGAGCAGGGGGAGAGCAGGGGGAGGGAGGTAAAGTGATCTTCGCTTTACGTGGAAAGTCATTATACTCTATAAGTAAGGGATGTAAGGTAGTATTTAATACTGTGTGTACTAGAAATAAGATAATATTTCTTAAACTTCTTTTATCAATTTAACTTTTTAAAATAAAACAAGCAAATAAATTCAACAACAACCAAATTCTCGACAATATCAAAAAATAAAAATAAATAAGGAGACTACAATGAGAGTTTGATTGTTAGTGCGAAAATCGTTTATTGTCGAAAAACTGTGGTATAATTAATTACGCAGAATGGCAACTCAATCTCTTTATTCTATTGGCAATGGTTGACAATCCCAGTGGCAACGAATAGCAGATAAAAATCCATATAGCCATGAAAGACGTGAACATCAAAAATTAATCACAGTCGAAAGACAAAGGATCCGCAAATTTCATATTTAGCGATATAAATTTACTACAACCGTTCCGAATATTGTGACGGTCAAATTTTGAATGTTGACCGTCACAATATTCGGAACGGTTATAGTGAATTTATATCGCTAAATATGAATAATTTGTGGATCCTTTGTCTTTCGACTCTGATTAATTTTTTATGTTCACGTCTTTCATGGCTATATGGATTTTTATCTATTATTCGTTGCCACTGGGATTGTCAACCATTGCTAATAGAATAAGAAAATTGAGTTGTCACTCTGCCATCTCGCCATGAAGAAGTGAGAATTTTACAACATACAGTTCAGACATACTGATGATGGCCCGGAAACAGGTCGAAACGTTTATACGTAACTAATTATATTATAGTTTTTCAATAATAAACGATTTTTATTTTCGCACTAACAATCGCGCAAAAAACTCTCATTAGCTCTTATTTGTTTTTGTTTTTTTAACAAACTTTTTAACAAACAATGGGCGATGGCTGAGTAACCTTTGGACTCAGGGTCATAACTTTAACATGTGTTAAGGTCATCGATGTTGGCTCCCTCCATCTAAATATTTACCATGAAAGAATCTGGCAGAAAAAAGCATCGTTCTGCCCCGCGAACTGACATATTAATAGTTAAAGTTGACAACTATTCAGATCAGGAAATCTGTCACTCATCAATATTACGAGAAAAAATGGTTTTTCAATCGTTTCTCAACACTTTTGTTCTACTTGGGAAACGACTGTTAATGTGAAATAAGTTTACAGCTTTTTTTTCAGGCAATTGAAAACTATTTGTAAATAAAATTATATCGAGTATTAGATCAATGCTCTTAATAACTTTCCACTCTATTATTTGTTGTTCCGTCTGTTGAGTTCGTTAATATTCATTTACACTTATTTTATTTGTCATTAATAGTGTTTTTTATTGACAGAACTGATATGAACTCACTGATGTGCATCTTAAAATCGTTATACACTATTCTAATCTGAATGTGGAAGTGAGATATCTCAAATGATAAAATACCCAATGTATATTTTACCAAATAGCACAATAAAATGTATTGAGGATTTCGCGGTTTAACTCCCCAGATAACATTTATGTTACATAAGATATCTAAAAGACGTCTTTTAAATATAAGACGTCTTTTAGATATTTTATGCAACATAAATGTTATCTAGATCATTTCTATATTTTTATTAAACATCTTTATGTTTATTTGTGTACAACGGCTTTAAAGTGCACTGAGCGCATATTAATAGCGTATTCGATTTACTGACTCGACCCGACTCCAAGTCAATGATCTGTCCTGTTTAGCTGCAAAAGAAAAGCTAAACTGTGCAAAAAATGCAGCTAAAAAGAACAGACCGTTGACTTGGAGTCGGGTCGAGGCAATAAATCGAATACACTACAATTCTGATAATGAAAAATGCTATAAGAGGAGTAAATATATACACAATAAAACAATTAAAAAGCATGAGACTCTAAGGCGATTTTATATATCATGAAATTCATGAAGTATGACTTGCTTAGTAATACAAAAAAAATTGTAATATTTAGAATTTATATTTTTATTTGTAGTCGCTGTGAAAATTGACAAAATTAAAAGAAAACGATTAGAAGAAAACATGAAAGATGCAATAAGGAAGTTATAGGACGATCAAAGAAACTGCTTCACAATTTTCCGTTCTAAAAAGTATATTAGAAGATAGAATTAAAAATATTAAAATTATTTGTATGTAAATATTAAAATTATTTATGTATCGTTTGTATACGATAATTCCAATATATACGCCGTATCTAACAAAATTAATTTATTAAGTATTATTTACTAATATTTAAAGTAAATGAACTATACCAGTAAAATCTTTGTACTATTTACTA